TACTTAGATTTGTTTTCTAGTTGCATATTCTCAGCCTATGTAAGACTATTTTGTTGTAATAGCCTGAATTTTTGAAACTCACAATATTGTTTCTCTAATATCTACCTTCAGATTTCATTTATTCGAATAAGTCAATTTTGTTTGTAATCGATATTAATAAAATCAGAATAAAGTTCGTATCTATCAAAAACTGCTTTTATTATTATTATTTTAAATTTACAGATACTTTCTCTAAATGGAAGGAGCTGGTTTATGATTTAGAAAGAAGAGTGTGTGATAGGTCAAAGAGAATCTCACCTTATATTTGATCTCTCAGTCACCATATAAAATACTAAGGAAGTTTTATTCATTCATTCATTCATTCATTTAGCAAAAAATCTGAGCTGCTTCTGCATGCCAGGCATTGATTTAGGTGCTGGAAATGTATCAGTGGACAAAATCGAAGAAAACCCCTTTCAAAGAGCTTACATTCTGATAGAAACCAATATGATATTTAAAATAATGCAATTTTCAAAACAATTAGCACAATAGAAAGAAGGCCGATCAAATATATCAACCTTATTGACCTTACAATGTTTGGGCTTCTTTTCTTTTTCTTTCTTTTTTTTTTAAAGTAGGCTCCATGCCTGACTGGGGCTTGAACTCCCTGAGATCTAGAGTCGCATGCTCTGCTGACTGAGCCAGCCAGGCGCCTTGGAATATTTGACTCTTATCTTTCATTGTATGTTAGTCATAGAGGTTCAGTTTGCCTTTTCTGAATTAAGAATGAGTATATGGTTTTATATTAGACCTTTTTATTGTGATATGTCCAGTTGTCACTGAAGTTTGCCCCATGAAGCAGCAAACTACAACATTGTTCATATTCATTCAGTCATTAGATAATGAACACCCTTACTCAGTCTTTTGCATAACCAGGTAATGTCCCTTCTCTCTTTTGCAAATTAGGAGACATGGGTAATAGTTGGACTTTGAGGGCTCAGAGTTGTGCCTGTTTTTGAACAGTATAAAAGAGTATTTCTCCTTTATATGGTAATATACAACCACAGTATAAAATTAAGAGAAATCAGTGGAGATACTTTAACTTCGTGGTAGCATAATTATATATCTGTGAAATGTTATTTTGCAAAAAGTGGCGAATCTAATTAAAAAAAAATATTTACTTATTGGGGGGGGTGGGGGGGGAGGGCGGGGAAGGCACAGAGGGAGAGAATATCCAAGCAGACTCCCACTGAGCACAGACCCTGAAGCCTGAAGCAGGGCTCCATCTCACAAGGCATGAGATCGGGACCTAGTCAAATCCAAGAGTCGGATGCTTAACCGACTGAGCCACCCAGGTGCTCCATGATTTTAATTCCAGTAAGTTTTCGTGCACCAAAAAAAGAATGAGAGATCCGCATGCTTTTTGTTCCATTAAACTCCAAGAAAATATATGGGTCATTCATACTTATTTGATCATGCTGTTCTGCCTACTGCTTCTTGTGAGCAGGTTGCTCGATGAGTAAGGCCTATTCCTGTAGTTAGTTAGGATTCTTTTTCTCCCCTTTTCTTTATATGTCCGTGTTAGTCACCATATTCTCGCCAAGACTACAGACCTTTGAAAATAGTTATTTGATTGGTTTATATATATAAAGAGGAAAGACAAGCAAAAAGTTGAAGAAGCTATGCTAGTATAGCCTGGTGTTTCTGAAACTTGAATAAAGCATGTTTATGCAACAATGTTACTTAATATGTAACAAACCTAAATCTAGGTATAACACTTGCTGATCTCACATGCTATCAAACAAAAATAACTTTAAAATACTTCTACATACCAATAAAACTAAGAATCAGAAAATCAAGCTAGCATTCCTTTAACCTTGGGTGATGTGGTTTAGCTGAAACTTGCTTTCCAGACAAGATTCTGATACGGACTGCTACGATTTGTTATTCTTAACCATGTGCTTTGTGACAAAACGTTGGGGCTGTCTTTTTCTATTTGAACTAACCTTTATTTATAAGTGGTCTCCATGTGGTGTGACTATCATTTTTGTTAGAATGGCTAACATTTACTGAGGACAAGCTATTCAGTAGATACTATTTTAAGTGCTCTGTATTTTTTCATTGAACACTCACAACAAATCTATGATAGAGGTACTGTTATTAGCCCCACCTAACAGATGGAGAAATTGAGGCACAGTGAGATGAATTCACCTAAAGTTACAAAGCTAGCAGGTGGTGAAGTTGGACTGAGCAGTCTGTATCCATGCTCTTAACCACTTGTTTAAGTTAACCCCTTTATAAATCATCAGCCCACATTTTAAAAAATGTTGACAGTTGAACTAAGTTTTTGGCAACAGTGTGATCATAAACAAATGTAATAGCAAAGACACATAGCAACATGGATGTTATTATGCTCATATATGTTACTTAACATAGAAAACACATGTTTTAAAAATTCTTGCAGGTAATTCATGGTGTCCTAAGATTATAAGCACAGTGAAAAACATTTGACTTGGAAGACCCAAGGAAGAGTTTACAACAGGTGTTGAAACACAAATAGTCTTATTATCAAAGACTCAGTTCACTCAGATCTTTATATAAATGATGGTATTTATTGAACTACCAACTCCTCTTAAAGGAAGTTAAGTTTGAACTGCAGAAGGAATTTACAAAGTAGAATTACTTTTTGGCAGTGAAAGCAGGTAAGGATGTGGGTTACCAAAAGGAGGCCATGGAGTGTTCATTACCTAAGCCTGCCGTCACTCACCTAATGTGTAAATGGTTTAGGTACTCTTCTTAGAGATGATGAGGATGAGATGAGCTGTTTGTAATACATAATGTAAATGGGTCAAAGAAAGTAAATATGCATAGGAAGAAAGCTAAAAATAGAAAATAAGAAATCAGTGCAGGGAGTAACCCAAGTAAATACGGTTACTTCTGCTAAATATTAAAATGAGCTCTGTTATAAACTTCCGGCAACTATGGCAGAAAGGTAAATACAGTGATTTTCTCTACTTTTCAATGTCTGCTGAAGAGAGGAATACCGGGTCCTAGTTTTGAATCCTACATCTGCGTGAAGGAGGCTCTGATAGAGACCTTGGATAAGCTCTTACCTTGCCCTTAGTTCTCTATTCAGTTAAATAGGGATGTATCACGTGTCTTTCATATACTTGTGATACACTCCCCAGACCCTCCTCCAGGAGTGAGACACTAGTCAGTCTACCCCCATCCCCCCACCTCCCCACCCCGCAACCACAGGCTGCTTGGAGCAATGACTGGCCATGGCTTCCTGGTGAATTCCAGGAAGGAAGTTCTCTTTGCCCAAGGGAGCTGTCTCTCCCAAGGTTAGGCTCCCTCTCCAGGGGCAGCCTGAATCCAGTGGCTGGCCAGTGCTGAAATACAAAGGTACAGCCTCCTTGCCCCAGTTCAGGACAACTCTGAAGGCTCATCCCAGTTCCCTCACCTCATTTTAGGTTAGCTGAGGCCTCTGTTACAACCTGTTTGTCTCCCCAACCCTGTTCAGGTCAGTCTCTCATAGGCGTTCTCAAGAGCTCTCCTTCATAAGACTGCTGCCCTGCCTCCTCAGACTGTTTCCTGGGACCCTCTCTTTTAGCATTAAAGTAAACATTAGGAATAATAAATATAAACTGCTTAGCCCAAATCTCAGCATACAGTAGGCACTGAGAAAAATGGTAGTTAATGGTTTTTACCTTCATTGCATGGGACATTGAGCCACATATGGAAAATGTTTGGTTTTTGTAGACTACATTTTTCATATGGCTATTGCTTTTAGCAAGCCTCATAAAGGTAAGAGTAAAATATAAAAATGCTACCAAATGAGCTATAGAAAGTGTTATGATTGCTTGAATTTCTTTCTAACAACTTCCTAAATAAGTTCAGGTTGCCAAAGGACAAATGCATAAACTTAAAACATGCTTATTTTCAGGGCTTTCATTGAAAAGGTATTTGTCAGCATATGAAGATGTGTTCTGTGCATGTGTTTATGATTTGTAGTTTACACCATGGAAATGCAAAAGAAAAACCCCACGTTTTGAAGTACAGTTGACTCCTGAACAACATGGGGATTAGGGACACCAACCCCTTGTGCAGTCAGAAGTCTGGGTATAACTTTTAAATCCCCAAAAACCTAACTACTAATAACTTACTGTTGACCAGAAGACTTGCTGATAATACGAAGTGTCGATTGACATATTTTGTATATGTATTACGTACTGTATTCTTACAATAAAATAAGCTAAAGAAAAATATTAAGACAATCACAAGAAAGAGAAAATACATTTACAGTCATGTATTTGTCAAAAAAAATTCATGTATAAGTGGACCCTTGTAGTTAAAATCCGTGTTACTCGAAGTTCAACTTTAATTCAATATTTACCCCTTTAAAAACAATTGTCTGAATCTTGTCCCAGATTCAGTCAAGACTAATGCTTGTACCCAGATAGCATGATGGGGGATTTCTAATAACCTCGCTTTTTAGATGATTTTGTCTACATGTCACAACCAAATATGCCAAATTAACTAAGGGAAAGAATTTGTAGTATAGATTATCTTTGCATAATAGATAGTAGTTTTGGGTAAGAAAATATGTACAAAACTTTCATGATTCACATGAAAGGAGTAAGGTGGCTTACTGTATTTTTGGTGGGGGGGAGAATTGCTCTGCACCATTTTCCTTTTAAACACTGGTCTCATTACTAGCAGAAAGTACCCTGTGTTTGGGAAGCAGTACAACGTTGTAATGCTAAAGCTGTGTGAGGTGTTTTTGTAATGTGTGTGTGTGTGTGTGTGTGTGTGTGTGTATGCGTGTGTAGTTCTTAATTATGGACCAATTAGTGTGCAATGCAGGATGTTTGTGTGGGAGGCCTTTACAGATAAATGGTTTTCCCCTGCTATCCTAGAAATATTTTAGATAACTCTTGAATATGTTTTTGGTTTTTTTTTTTTAGTTCTCACATATTCACAAAAGTTAACATTTTAAATATCATCCGAATGTCCCTTTGAGGTTCTGCCCCAGGGTGTGAAGTACTGAGAAAAAGATTTAACAGAGATGCTAATACAGCAGCTTCAGAAGTGATGGAGGAGGGCAGGTGAAAATAACCTAATCCAGGTGAATTCTTACCAAACAACTGATTTTCCCCCACTTAGATGGGGAGGAAGTTCTAGACAAAGAGTGGTATGTGACTGTCTTTGATGGCTGTAACTCTGTGGCTGCTTATGTCCAAAAGAGTTCAGTAGTTCAGAAAGCCCTAATTTTTTGACCTGTCTTGTTCTCAATAGAGCAGCACTTGAGGATTTCATGCCTAGAAAGATTCTCGTATCCCAAAGAAGCCCTTAAACATGACCACACTTCCTAGGTCCTCTTGTACGGTGTTGCTGCCAAGATGAGATACTCTATGAACACCCACATGCCTTACCTACAGTATAGGATTGAAAATGGATAGTCCTGTGAACATAGTTCCTTGAGCAATGGAAGATGTGTTTTCAGCAGTTACTATTGCCCTCCTTGAGGGTTTTTCTTCTTCATAATCTGAATGGACAAGACCCTCACCTGCTAGCACGGAGAAACCTAGAAAACGTAGGGGAGTTGATGCTCACTGAGGATTAAAATCTCCTGAAGAGTCTCTCCCTCCTGAAGCCAGGACTGACCAGTTATAGACACAAAAGTGAGTCACTCGTAGCCAGAGTTGGAATGTGGCGCAAGCTGAAAAAATATCCAATCCTGGCCAGCTCCCCACAGAGACTGGGGCTCCAGAGAGGTAAGATCTCTTGGTTTCTGGTGGTCCTTCTTCTGTCTGGCCCTATCAGAATCCAGGAAACAATTGAGTCTTTTTTTTCCTTTTCTATCTTTGACAGAACTGTACTTTATATTCTTGAATATTTTATTTATTTAATGTGTAAGGCATAAGAAATGATCAAATTTGGACAGAGCAACAGAGCCCTATTTGGTGGGTGGACCCCTCCCCCACCCAAAGGAAACCATAACAGCAAGCATGGTAGATATTGTTAAAATAGCCCTTGCCCTCTGCAGCTAGTCCCTTTGTTACAAAGGGAATTTGCTTTGCTAATTATAGCCATATCTATGTGTCATACCCTTTTCTGCTCCCGCTTTTTTCAAGGCGGAGCCTTAGCTACCTTGGATTTATTGATTCTATATATATAATACAAAACCGTGATTATACGTCGAGTTTCCTGATTTTCTCCGCTAAGAAAAAAAATTGCTCTTCTTGCAAGTGATTTACAATGTGAAAATTACCTTAATTCATTTACTTAATAAATATATCTATTGAAGCCTTATGTGATAGGCACTATTCTGGACTCACGGAAACCGTGAACTAGGCAGACATAATTTCTACCTCCCAGAGTTTATGATCTAAGGGAATAGTTCTCTTAGGGAACATTCATATTTGCATTTGGTACCTCCCCTCCCCCCACCCAAATCCCTTTCAAAGGAATACTTACTTGTCTTGGGTCCTTGTCTCCTCAGTTGGTAAGTGAGGAAGGTGGACTACATGATTTCCAAGGTTCTTTTCCATTCAAAACATTCATAATATTTTGGAAGATGGAACCTGGTTTTGCTCTTAGAGCCTTGGGCAGCTCCCCCACTCGCTGTCAATCATTGTATTATAGAAAGTTTTACCAAAGAGATTATCTGGCAAGGATGGTGATATAGACACAAAGTTTCAAGTGTTCACATGACTTAAGGACAAAGTTTGAGGGTCATTCTTTAAGATACTGCCAACCACGATATGAACAATTCCAGCAGAATAATAGATCAGACTTAGTCTCATCGGGTTAAGGACTAATTGGTGTAGACATTGCCAATTTCTTTGAGACCCTTTGGTCTTTAGGCAGTATTAAAATGGGAGGATGCTAGAGCTTAGCCATTATGACTACTAAGGAAAGTAGTCAAGAGTTATTACACTTGTTTCTAGATCTTCCCTGTTGTAAGTTGCTACCTTACGACCTTACTCCCAGTAATTTATCTAGCATCTGTATTGATAAGTGAATCAGATAATGAATAATCACATATTATGTGATTCAATTAATAATCAGTAAAATTTATGAATCGTTTAATATTGCCCAATTACCACCTCGGAAAAAGATTGCTTCCCTAGCAGGTGGGAGAAAAGTACTATATTTTTGTGATGAGTAAATTGATATCCTTGTATGTTTTTACTGCTAGCTATTGCTTCTTTCAAAAAGCAGGGGAATTTGGCTAATTTATCTCTTAAAGGATATATTAATGCTGCTTTATCTAAAGGAGCAGGATACAGAGCAAATTGGTTAAATTGTACTTTAACTGGTTGTCCCAATCTTTCTTGTAATACCTAATACACAAATTATGCCTACCTTATCTTAGGGCTTCTGACTAATACCTGTTCTATTCTTTGATGGAAGAAACAACACCGTGGTATAGAGCAGCTTTTTAACCCAAGATTCTTGTATGGGCTTTCAGAGTCCATGTTCCCCTTGAAATTGTATGGAACAATTTCATATGTGCATTTTTCTGGGGAGGGGATCCATGACCCAAAAAAGTTAAGAACCTCTGTTCTGGAGAGGAAAAGGAAAAGAGAAATTTAAGAATAGAAAGATCTTTCACTTGCCAAAACCTCCTCTGTAGCGCTAAGAAGTGGGAGAGTGTGAAAGTGTTGTATTTTTGGTCTTGGTTTTGATCTGTTGGGGTTTGGGGTTGATTTTAAAGCGTTTGGGTGATTGGCAAATGCACTTGCCAGATTTTGATGGAAAACCTAAAAAAATAGGTAGTAAAACTTCTGCAGGCCCCCAGATGGATTTCACCTTGAGAGACTTCCTAATCATTAGTTACAGTTCTGTGTAATAGATATGCATTTGTAGTAATATATGTTATACTTATAATATCTCTCTTACTGTATGAAGAAATGTGTTTATTTGCTTATGTCTCCTGTTTCGGGTTTTTTTTTTTTTCCCCACCTTTTGTGCTCCCAGTAAGCAACTAAAACAAATTAAATAACTTTTGAGTCTCTCTAAAAGATACTGGAAGAAACTCAGTGGTTTTGTTGTTGCCTCATTAACTAAGAGCAGCTTGCTGTAACAGTTACACTACAGCAATAACTTTTTAAAAAAGATTTTATTTATTTATTTATTTGAGAGAGAGAGTGAGCACAAGGTGGGTGGGGGTGGGGAGGGAGGCGCAAGGGAGAAGCAGACTCCCCGCTAAGCAGGGAGCCCAATGTGGGGCTTGATCCCGGGACCCTCAGGTCATGACTTGAGCCAAAGGCAGACGCTTAACCCACTGAGCCACCCAGGTGCCCTAAAGCAGTAACTTTAAAGGAAGAAGATAGATGTATTTCACAAAGACCTTTTTGCTTCAAAACTCATGTGTGCTTAGGCTGAGGTATTGTTTTTAACACTTTTATAAATGATTAGTTTGGCGATTTGCCCCCAGGATGATTTCCCCTATCTTTTGTGGAATAGAACATGTGATTTTTAAGACTCTGACTGCAAATAAGTATGTTCTTTATGTAATCATTTGGGTTTAAAACATCTCAAATTTATCCTATTTAGTTGCCAGAGGGTTAAGATCAACTATGTAATCCATTTCTAGTGTTCCCAGTTCCACAACTACATTTGAAAATCTGTTTCACTGCTTGTGTTTTCTTATAACATTGTTTCCTGCTATTACAACTAAGCTGTCCTGCCTCGCAGTTTGACTTTGTTTTTCATCTGACATCTTAGATGTATCATTCCAGTGTTTCCTAAACGACACATTTATGTGGCTATTATGCCTTATTTCCATTCCTCCTTATTACAGACCCTGTCCCACCTGTAGTCAGTTCTGTTAGAACAGTGGTTTTGTCATGGTGATTATTTTATGATTGTATGAAATGGGGCAAATTTTGAGACAATGATTGAGCCAATAGCAGAATTGGTTGGCATATGCCCATATGATTATTTAGTTTGCTTCCTGCTTTGCCATAGCAGGGAAGAATTCAATTCCTCCCGCTTCCTGAAAGTCAAAGGAGGAATTGGAGGACACAGAAGTGAAAGACACCTTATTTTTTACCCCCAAAGTAGCTCATGTGATGTCAGGAAGGGCTTTGATGAAACCACTGGCCCTACTTATAGATCTTATTTTCCAAGCCTTTCATTATTTTATTTGCCCTTTTCTGAACTCTACAATTTCCCTCTCTTGTAGCTGGTTCGATGCCCAGAACTGAATGCTGTGCTCCAGCTGTGGCCTCACCGGTGCTGAATAGAGAGGAAGAGCCACCTTCATAGCTTACATGTGATTCCTCTGCTTATACAACCCAATACTGGATTTACTTACTTTGGCAAGATAGCTGCATTGTGCACTGTATTTAATGTTACGTGTACTGTAACCCTGGGTCTTTCTCTGCATTGCTGCCGTTAAACCCCCAATCCTGCCAATCTAGAACTCCTGCCTTTGTTTACCCACACCCCCTCCCCCGTAGACCCTTCTTACATTCATCCACAATGAATGTCATCTTTATTCTCTCATTTCCTTTCACTCCAGTCTTAAACTTTGGCGAAACCTTCCTTCTGTCTATAAATTATCGGTTGTCAGCCATCTTACTTTCCTCCTTGCTTTGGTAATGGGACAATCTTTCAAGCCTTTTCTCTGGTTCTTTTCCTGTTGGAGTCATTAACCACGTGGTGTTTCTTCCAAACCGAATACCTCCAGACTCTTCTGATTTGACCACCTGATCAAGTTGTTACCTCTCCTTTAGTTCTTCTTTCCAGATTTTCTTGACTCCTCCTGACCTCTATTCCTCTGACTTCGTTCAAGATACAGTATTATCTCACTCCTCTTCCCCAGAGGGGAGATTGTATATTGATTTACCAGGAAATTTCTAGTAATAAGGAAAGTGTTACTCTTCTCCATTGTGAATAGACTGGTCTTTAATAATTTTAAGCAAATTCTTTCCCTGTCCCTACCCCCTCCCTGAGATCATAATTAAAAAAAAAAAAAAGTTAGAGGTTAATTTTCCATACATTTCTAAGACTAGTGAGCTAAAGAAAGAAGGAAGGGCAGTGAGGTGGGTATTTGCGTTGGGTAGGAAATGGCCTTTCAAGAAGGCTAAACTGAGATTCTTGTTGGGTTTGGCATGGCTGTCTGAAATGGGAGGTGAGACTTTGTTTTTCCTAGATTCTGGAGCATTCTCTTAATCTCAGATTTAGAGTAGGTTTTTAAGTTGGCTTATTTAGGACTGTTGACACAGACACACAGTTATTTAATTGCCTGCTTTGGTTCATCATTTAGAGTGTGGGAAGTGTAACTTTTTCTGATTGGAAGGTCTCCATATGCTCCTTTTATCCATTTCTTAAGTCCCTGCAGTTCCACTGAATTCCAGTGTCTCCTGTAGTGGTGGTCAAGTTCATGTTTGAGTTCTCACCTTTTTTTTTTTTTCTATCTTAGTTGATGTGTCCCTATTCAAACAGCCTCTCCTTGGATCTGTGGATCTTTTACTGAACTCAGAAGGTACCTCTTATGTGTACTTATGTCTTGAGAGAGTTAAAGTCCATCTGGAAATCTTTTTAACATTATTTCAACATATCAAATTCCTATCGTATGGATTTACGAATTACCAAACATTTTTCCTGCAGACCCCTGATAGATATTTTACATATCAGCACATTACACTATTAAAGTGTATTACAGAAGTACACTATGAAGAAAGATGTGGCAAGATCTCTTAGCCTTTTTTGATGAAATATAGAATGTATCCTGACTATTCTTCGGTCTCTAAAATCATTAGATATTACTAGTTTCCTTATTCACAGTTACATAAGCCAAGTAAAATTGTAAGCTCAATTTGGTGGTTTCAAAGAAAGCCAATCTTTTCTGTGGTTTTCTATCATGTATATAGTCAATGATTTGTGGCTTTGCTTTATGCCCATATCACATCCTGAGAAGGCTGGCACCTTTCTTCAAAGGAACATCAGTTTTATTCCTTGTCTTCTGAAATAACCCTCAGTGACAGATCCCACTGGGCTCTTCTGTGTGCTGCATGCTTTTCTCTAGGCAGCCAGTAAGGAGTGAGTGGTGGCATCTCCATTTATGGCCTTGGAAGGGTGAAAGGGACATGGCCGGGACTCTCCATGTATGGTCCTTGGAGGAGTTGAAAAGAGTGGTTGGGGTGTTCTTGGAGGCAGAAACTAGACATTGTGAGATAAAAATAAATTGGCAGGAGATGTTTGCAATTCAAATTCCAATCCCTGCAAGGAGCGCAGAGGGCACTGGGAAAGGGGAGTATATAGAAAGTCAAATGAGATCTGCTGCAGGCATTTGTCTCCTTCCATTGGAAGGGTTGCCCTGTGACACATTTCCCAAGTTCCTGCCCGATTTTTCTCTAGAAAGTTCTGTGTTATGTAGTTGTGACTATCTTTTACAAAGAGAAAGAGAGGGAACACTTTTTTAAAGAGTGTATTAATCAGAAACCTCAGTTCTTTAAGGCATCGTTGGAGGCATCAGAAGAGATTTCTAGAAAGAGGCAGGGAGAGGCAGGGGCGTATGCAGGGGGTAGGCTGGCTGGTTTTCTGACGGGAGCCTGCTCACTGCTCTGTTTATGTCTGAGGAAGATCATCCTGTGTGTCCTGCTTGGATTATTCCTTTTGCCCATCTGGATTTCTGGTCTCAAAGGACAGATCTGCAAAATATTTGACGGTGTCTTGTCGTTTGTCAACTGTGATTTAAAGATGCGGAACTTTCGTGGAGGTTTTGTAAAGATTATTAAGAGTTGTTTCAGTTTGGTGAGAATATGTGATATATTGGCTTATGGAAAGTAATCTCACATTTAGGAGAAACCTACAGTCTGGCTAACATGTATACATTAAGTCTGAGGTGAACAGGTTTTGTAGAGTTGTGTCAGAAAGTATTTGAGAGCCATCAGGGAAAAAGGGTCTTGTTTCTCTCAAGAAAATTCTGAGTGAAATCCAGTCAAGGAGAAGGGAGCTTCAAAGGAACAAAAGCAGCAGAGATGGGATAGACACTGGATAGCACTGAACTAAATGTGGATGCTGGGACTAAGTCCTTGATTTATCCTTTAAAACATGTAAGACAGTTAAAGAAGCAGGGCGAATGATCGGAAGTATGCATTGAAAGACCATGAAGAAAATGGAAGTGTTGTGCAAGATAATAAAATTGTCCGCGTTTTCTCTGTGGACTCACATAGTGATTTTTATTTGCTGTGTGGCACAAGGCAGAGAAGGAAGTAAGATGATACCCTGTCCACCTCACTTCCCTCCCCGCCCCCCCCCAAAAGAAATTATTGGCCTTCTTTGTTGGTTTTAGCTGGCAATTTGTGTTGGTTGAATTGATGAGTACTGGCTAATCTTTTGATGTAGGAATGAGTATATTGTTTCTGGATGGTTGGTGTTTGAGACTGGGGATCTGTAGCATAATCCGTTTGACCTCTTTCAAATTTTAGCAACCTCCCTAAAGATAGAGTAAGTTAGTTAAGGACTATGGACTTCGTAAGTAATATGTTTTATTAGCTGATTCATTTAGACAATTGTTTTGACCCTGTTTTCCTTCTTAGGAGTAAGGAAGGTTATATTCTTTGCTTTGGGAAATTCTTCTTTCTGTCCTCCCTTCCCTCACTTTTTCCAAATTCTGGGCACAATAGCAGCTCTTTTCTCTTCTGTGGCAGGTGTGCATCCTATTGGCTGGCTGGTATTTCTTGTTTTCTTTTTTTTTTTTCTTATTCTTTTTAAAGGGGGGGTGGGGGTATAAAAATATATGTATGGGATACATGCAATAATGTTGTAATGTTTCTTGTTGTTTAATGGATGATTAATTGCAAAATAATTGTTTGAATTATAACATGTTTGAGTAAATGCTAAATTAGTTTTTTTTTCTAATATAATAATGAATTTGAAATCTAGCATTCCTGTAACAATGTGTCTATGTTTGTCTGTCTGTGTCTGTCTAATAGTAATTAATATCTGTGGTCCGTACCTGGAAGAGGAAGTACAGCTTTAAAGGAATAACAAAAGACTTTGTGTCTTAGACCCTTCGCAGGTGTTACAGTCGGGTGAAAGAACATGGTGTTGGGAAAAGAAAGAGCAGTTACACATTTGAACAGTTGGAACAGGTGTTTGGTCAGGGAGGATGGGATGCTCAGCCCTGCCAGCCTGTACTTATTAACAGTAGTGGCTTGTACCAGGAGCTGGAGTCAGATGGCAGCACTATGGAGGACTATTCACAGGAGGACTGGGGAAACCACAGTCAGGATCTCCATGGCTATCCAACAGATCAGGAATTGGGTAAGAAAGCCAATACATATGATATTTAACGTGTGTGTGTGTGTGTGTGTGTGTACCCCTTCATATGTGCACTCACCCTTAGTCGCTGTCTCAGCCTCTGGTGCTGCTCCCACTGTCCACACGAGGCACATGGCCAACCTCCTTGGGGCAACGTGGGCATCGTTGTTTTGGCCCTAAATTGCCAGCTAGAGCTTGGTGTGAGTCATTTGGATGCGGCTACGAACAAAATTCCTAAAGATGCAGAATTCCTAATCAGGGACAAGTGAAATCCTATGCAATTTAAAATATCCTGCACCTCCTGAGTTCTAAGACAGCTGCCAGGAGTGTTAACTCTTGGTGCAATTTCTCTGGACATGACTATCTTTTCCTTGCTTTATCCCAAATACTTTTCTGTTTATGAATTGGAAAAGGTCCCCAGCCAGACTTTAGTCTGAACAACAACAACAAAAAAGAAGACTCAGTTTACATTGAAAAGAGCTGATGTTTGAATTTTATCAGTGATCATACTCCTTCAGAATTCACTAAGGATCCCATCCAAGCAGTAGCTGGAATGATTTAGATTAGCATTAAAAATGGAAAACAAAACTCTTGGCCATCGATTTCAAACTGGGATGGCCTAATTGAAAAAGAGGTATATGTAGTTGTTTTTGTTTGTTTTTGCAAAAATTGCTCCAGTTTGGGCTTTCATAATTTGGAAGTCCGAACCCAGTGTCTGGTGCAGGCAGTGTGGTTCAGTAACAAGTTGTGTGATGAGTGTTCACTTCTAAGTAAACGTTCTGACTCCCCAGTGAGCTGCTCAGGCAGCCTCCAAGGAAGCGTAAGTAGGATTGGCACTGTAAATGTGCTTCCTTAGCTCACGATAAAAGTCCACAGGCCTGGTGTTACAGAATTCCTGATGATAGAGAAATGCTAATTTCAAAAGAAAAAGGATTAAATGCTAATATCTCTTACAAATGCTATATTTTTTTAATCTCTCAAATATTAGAAGGGAAAAGGAGAGAAGAAAGAGGCTGTAAAACTATAAGATTAACACAATGTGAGAAACTTAAAGATTGGGAGACTAAAAAGGGCTGATGCCAAGTGATCGCTACCCTTTAATTTCTAAATGGTAATAAGGTCTAAATGGCTTTGGCATCCCATTACTCGGGTTTTACCCTAGAGAGTTAAGTTCCACCCAAACCTTTGGGAAAAAATAACATGCAGAGTATATTGATCGTGATATTGGGGGAATAATTGCTCTGTAAAACCTACATAGAAAATCTGAGTAGGAGAGAATCATTTTTCATTCTCGTTTCTTTAAAAATCATGTTTGCCGTGAAATTAAGCTTTAAGCTCCTAGCTAGAAATCCACTGGTGACCTTGAAGAATTTTATACTTGTAGAGCTGGTTTCTGATCTTGCATATAAATGTATGCATCTCATTATATAAGAGTTATATTTATAAATCTGGCATTGGACAGTGTTTGACACTAGAATTACAGCCTTGCATTCAAAGTATGAAATGAACAGTAAACACAGTTACTTCTCTACCTAAATGTATGCTACTTAGAAAAATATAATTTGTTTCAAAACCCTTGCTTTTCAGATGAAATACCTCTCACAAAGAGAACATTAAAAATAAAACAAGAATCTTCTGAAGAGGCACAGTAAGTAGATGCTTCTTTCTACAAAGTATATTAACCTAAATTTAATGACCATTGGGAAGACATAGAAAGTCACTGCTGTCATTAGACATGTATGGAAAATACAGCCATACCATTGAGGGAGCAGTTGTATTCACAGTGTCTCATCTGTTTAGCTTACATTTGCCAGTAGTTAATCTACATTGAGAATTTTGTATATGACATGAAGAAATAAATGTGTTAACACAAAAACAAGTGTGTTGATGGTGTTTGCCTATACTCAAATGTGACTATGTAGGTGTCTCATTACGGTACAGAGATGACTTACAGGGCCCTGAGTTAATCTGGGGTTGGCTGCGATGCCAGAAAGGCTAGAGGGGCACTTGCATGCCTTATGATATTACTCTGCAGGGATCAAGAAGCAAGCTCCTAGGTGGCCTTTTTATCCATTTGGAAAAGAAAGACATTGACAGACGAAAGATGGAATCCCGGGCTGGGGTCCTTCAGCTGGCTACGTCACCTGAGTTCAGTTCTCTCTTCTGTAAGGAGACCACAGGACTCTGAGTTTCAGTGAAGCTATGTTTGTAGTTCTTTTATTTATTTATTTTTAAAGATTTTATTTATTTATTTGACAGAGAAAGAGACAGCAAGAGAGGGAACACAAGCAAGGGGAGTGGGAGAGGGAGAAGCAGGCTTCCTGCTGAGCAAGCAGCCCAATGTGGGGCTCGATCCCAGAACCCTGGGATCATGACCTGAGCCGAAGGCAGACGCTTAATGGCTGAGCCACCCAGGCGTCCCTGTGGTTCTTTTAATTAACTTTAAGGAAGTCCCTCACTAAGTCTATGAAATAAATATATTAAAAGATCAATTTAGGGGGAAAGTAGAGGAACGCCATTTTTTTTTTCAATCTGGTCATCCGGAAACCCTGATAGCACCTATTTTTTTCCTTCTGTACTTCATTGTGCGCATGTGAGCTTGATGTTTGAGGGGACGGTGGACAAAGGGGGAACAGGCGAGATGGAAAGAGCTGTGACAAGCAACAAGCAATATAAAAAGGAAACTTGTTTTCACTGAGCCAACCACCACTACCATCACCCACTTTGCAAATGCTCCTGTCTTTTTCAGAGTATCTGTAGAACAAAAGAATTCCCAGTATCAGCTGCTCCCCTATCGGGGCAAAGGGTAAAAGTTTAGGGATCAAGAATTATTTCTCAAAATTATAACCACTCCCCACGCCTCAACAAAGAAGTTTATGACTCAAGTCAGTAAGCTTGAGGCTGTTTCTTGTTGGGAAGTAGATCTGTTTTCCAGTTGGGACATCAGAATGTCCCAAAGGAAGGGAAATTCTGATGATGAATATTTTTTAAAAATGCATTATTACTAGTCCATCCCTTCAGGCCCTGAGTCTCCAAAAAGGCCATCGTCTCTCCTTTACTAAAATGTCCCATCTCTCCCTTTCAACTGCTTGGGACCTTGAGGAGAGGCCCAGGTGACCTAACTGGAGATGAACTCAGATCTCACAGAATGGGTGTCCCTACCATCTGCACTTTTCCCGTGGTTGGAATTTCAGAAATCAGGAACTAAAATAGACCCTTCTCTGGAGCCATTTAAATAACGGGGTCTCATTTTTACTGTGCTCCATAGTTTTGAAAATGTGTTGAGTTTTAGGCCCAGGGATCTCCAGACAGACATCAGATCAGCAGGTTCCGTAGAAACGGACCGCTTTGCTGCCTCTGCTCCAGGTTTTAGCTCACACAGTGAGAAGCTTTAAAGTGGTTCCTAATAGGCCATTTATTTTCCAGTGCAAGTTTCCTCAGAACTATTCCTTATGGATGATTTAAGGCTAAGACAATGCTGAATAAAATAACTTCATCTGGGCATTGGATATGTTTTTCTCCAAGTATAAGTGGGATGAGCCTAAGATAGCAGACATAGTGTGTAGTTAAAACGTACCAACCTTCAGGACGCCTGGGTGGCTCAGTTGGTTAAGCAACTGCCTTCAGCTCAGGTCATGATCCTGGGTTCCTGGGATCGAGCCCCGTGTCAGGCTCCCTAATCCTTGGGGAGCCTGCTTCTCCCTCTCCCTGTGCCTGCTGCTCCCCTTGCTTGGGCTTTCTCTCTCTGTCTCTCTCTGTGTCAAATAAATTAATAAATAATCTTTAAAAAAAAAATCTCAAAAAAAAAATATATATATATGCCATCCTTCATCCATAAAGTAGAGTCACCTAACCTGCTCATTTAGTTGACAGTTATTTGCCAAGTGCCTACTTCATGGCAGGCACTGGGATGTTGATCAGTGAGCAGAATCGATGAAAATCTCTGCCTTCCACCATCCCAACTCCTTAACCTGGTCCTTGAGATCATTGTAGCATTTCAAAAGAGGACAAGGAAGGATGGTGGCTGTATACGAGAGCTTTTCTTTCAGCATTCATGCAGACACACAGTCCTCTATCTTTACCTCCTGAGCACCAAGCTGAGTATGACTGATCACTGAGTGCCTTTGTGTACTCTGAGAAGGAGCAGTTCTCCAGCAATGCAGTGATTTTATCGAGATGGCCACTCCAGTACTTGAGAATTTCTGTGACAAACTAAAGAGTGGAAGATAAGTCTAGGGCAGTCTCTGGCTTCGAGAAGCAGCAGGCGACAAATCTTAGCATTTTGTCATCTTGCAGAGAAAGCCAAAGAGAGTAAGAGGACAGACTGAGAATGAGTACATGGGAGGTTCCCCAGTTTGTTCCCCAAACTCTTCCCCTAGAAGATACAAGGATTTAATAGGAAACTTTCAAGCATTGTTTCCTTCCAAGAAGCTATACACCCTCTTCTCTTTGCCTGCGTTTGATCGTACATAAGGGTGGTCATTGAGTATTTTTGTAGCTTAAACCTATGACCGATGTAGACTGTAATAGATTGTTATTAAGTTAACATTTAACAGACTTCCATCTTTCAATGTCAAAGTCTTTGCCATACCTGAGAAACAAACTTGTAATTACATATGCTCATATATAGTGCATGAATTATAGTAAAGTATCAGTTACGGTTTTAGGAGTTAAGCAGCATTTAACAAAAACTTCCCAGCACATTCAGCCTTACTCTGTTAACTCTCCAAATCCAAATTGAAATAATTTCTATACTTTTGCTCCCCTTTAGCAATAGCCCCATTCATTTTTCCCTTCTAAGCTTGATGTAGACTTTTTCCATCTGAATTCTCAGATCTTAATTCTGTGCTTAACTGACAATTCTTCGACATTTGTGAGTAGTAGGAGTTTCAGACAACCAGAAGAAAATACCGTTTTGTTTCTGCATCAGGCCATTAGACATAATTGGTTGTGCATTTCCTACAGCAAACACGTATGGGCCAAAATTACTGAACTCTAAGAACTTCCAGGTTAGAAATTAAGCTCTTCATTATTTTAAGTGATGCAGGATGCCATTTTGAATAGAGCACCCTTCACCTGCCTTTGGTATTAGATTGGAAAGCCACTCTATGCATTATAATAGCCACTTTATAAACCAGCCAGAGAAAGAGAGATACCATACGATTTCACTCATCTGTGGAATTTAAGAATCGAAACAAGCAAAGGGAAAAGAGAGAGACAAAGCAAGAAACAGACTCTTTAACTATAGAGAACAAACTGATGACTCCCAGAGGGGGAAAAGGGGGCCAGAGATGGAGGAGTGCACCTGTCGTGAGGAGCACTGAGTGTCGTGTGGAGGTGTTGAGCCCCAGGATGGTATGTCTGAAACCAATATAACACTGTGCGTTCACTATACTGGAATTGATTAATAAATTAAAAAATTCTAAATTCTTGATTTGGGTTTCTAAAACCCCAGGGGCTTACATATCAATAGTTACTAAGTTTAATATAGCCAGACTATAGAAGTAATGGAAAGCACTTTATCATTAATTGCTAGAAATCTCCTAGGAAAGAGTGTTTCTCAGATTTTAATACTATGTTCATCTTGGCCTGCACTGTCCAGTATGGTAGCCACTAGTCACATGTGGCTATTTATTTATTTATTTATTTATTTATAAGTTTTTATTTATTTATTTGACAGAGAAAGAGACTGCGATAGAGGGAGCACCAGAAGGGGGAGTGGACAGAGAGAGAAGCAGGCTTCCTGCTGAGCAGGGAGCCCAGTATGGGGCTTGTTCCCAGAACTCTGGGATCGTGACCTGAGCCGAAGGCAGAGGCTTAATGCCTGAGCCACCCAGGAGCCCCGACATGGCTATTTAAACATAATTTCAAATTATGACTAAAAATTTCATATGTCACTCACACTGATCACATCTTAAGTGCTAATGGCCACCATATTGGACAGCACAGATTAGAACATTTGCATCATGGCAGAAAGTGCTGGTGCACCGTGCTGAGCTAGACACCTGAAGAATTTGACTTTGTATTTCTCTTTCTAGGAAGAGAGACATCATGCAAAATATCGTCCAGATTTTGGAATCAGTACAATTGAAATGGGAACTGTTTCAGAGCTGGACGGACTTTTCAAGGCTTCATCTTTCTAACAAACTGGCCATTTTTGGAATCGGTTATAACACCCGTTGGAAAGAGGATATTCGTTACCATTATGCTGAGATCAGCTCCCAGGTGCCCCTCGGCAAGCGACTGCGGGAATACTTCAACTCCGAGAAGCCCGAGGGACGGATCATTATGACCCGCGTGCAGAAAATGAACTGGAAAAATGTTTACTACAAGTTTTTAGAGATCACCATTAGCGAAGCTCGGTGCTTGGAGCTGCACATGGAGATTGACTGGATACCCATTGCCCATTCCAAACCAACCGGGGGGAACGTGGTTCAGTATTTATTACCGGGAGGCATTCCCAAAAGTCCAGGCCTTTATGCCATTGGCTACGAAGAATGTATGGAGAGGCCCCCGTCTCCACACCTGGAGCGACATTCTCTGGACCCGGGAAAGGAGGGCCGGGTTGACTTGGAGACCCTCTCAGCACAAGCCTCGTTACAGGTGGAAATCGAGCCCACCCGAATAATCTATTGCTACCTCGGGATTGCTGAGGTCAGGACTCTCCAGCAATGCTTATTTTTACATTTCCAAGCAAATACCAAAACCTTCAGCAAAGATTGGGTTGGTATTAATGGGTTTTTGTCCCAGAACTGTATTGTGGATCCCGGAGTCTCCCCCAAATCTATCTATATCAAATTTGTAGAAGTAGAGAGGGATTTTCTTTCCGCCGGCTCTTTAGTTGAGTGCCTGGAAAAAGCCATTGGATACCCCTTAAAATTTAACAACTGAACGTCATCCTTCATAAGGATTTGGGCTCTTAACCTCCCTTCTCTACTCTCTCTGCATTCCCGAGACTGCCCCCTTATCCAGATGCTGCCATCAGACTCTTCACAGAAACTCGTTCCACAGTTGGGCCAGTACAACTTCAACTGAATTATACCAGACTTTGGGCAGAAAAAGCAGACCTCACCTGAAAATGCTCATTTTGAGCAAACAAGATTCACAGCGAACTTGCATGGTGGGTCAGCTGTTCTTTTTTTAAAAACAAAAAGATAATTTTTAAATGGATTTTAGAGCCCTAATATAAACAAATGTAGGTACATTCCATATTGGACAAAACTTACACTTTTGAGTTTCATATGAAATTGAAAAATTGTATTTTTTTCACAATGTTTCATTTTTACACATCTCTATGTCTCTATATAAGTATTATTTACAACCCTGAATAAATAAGCAATAGATAATGGCAAGTTAAATCGCGAGTCACAGTAAATAAGACTGTTTTTCAATATCACCCTTAGCTACTATTGTATATAATTTAGAGTTTCATTTTTTTCACCAGCCAAGTGTTTTGCTATTCCCAATCAGTGTTGCCTGCAAAGACCTTTGTTTCTGTGATGTACCAACTTTATGGTTGTGTTGCCATTTGAACTTTTTAAAAAAAAAAAAATTATTAAAGTAATTCTTGGCCTCTTGGAGCACTGTGCGAGCTTTTTCGTAGCAGGGCGTAGGCGCACCGGTGGTATGACCTATGCAGACTTCGCTGCTCCCAACATACAGAACAAAGGGAGCAGGATATCTTCACTCTCTCCACCCCACTGACCAATGTCATTATTTGTCAGAGCACCAAAGTCACTGGATGCTGCATTTTATATTTCTTTCTGAAAAATGGGATATTCTTTCTGACCCTACGTACGTGAATTTGCAAGAGATTCTCCTTCTTCATCTTAATGCTCAGTCGGCAGGGGCCACTCTCTCCAAGAGTGTAAGTGGGGAATTATTGTCATCATGCTGTTTATAAAACAGAAAATATAACAGAAACATCCAAAAACTTTTTTTAAGTGATCCACAATAAAGCTTCCTATCTGTCCATTAGGAAGCCAGCTATCCCATTTAGAGCTTTCAGGGATTTCTTGGCATCAACTAACGAACACTCCACTTAGAGGTTAGCTTGGCTAACAACTGGTTTACTGGAAGGGCAGGCAAAGATCACTTTGGTCTCATGGCCGGGGCTTGTTAGCTTGATGGTATATCTTCAGTGATTCCCCCAACATGTCTCAGGTGCTCTCCTTTAGATGGACTGCAAATCCAGGTAATTTTGCCCATCTTTTTTATACTATTGAAGATAAAATTGCATATTGATAAAAAAAAAATAGTCATCTTCTTCCTACAACCTGAATGGCCTTAAATCAGTGATTTTCTCATCCTGATACCTCTTGGTTGGCTGACGCTTATATTCTGATGGCTAGAGAGCTTATAATCAATGGGATGAGTTTTATTAATATCTTACTTAATGTATTTTAGTCTAAGTTTAAGGAGTTGGCTGTTTTCTGATATGAGCTGCTAAAAATGGATGCTAGTTGGGGCCCCTGGCTGGCTCACTTGGTAGAGCATGTGACTCTCGATCTCAGGGTTGTGAGTTCACGTTCCATATTGGGTGTAGAGCTTACTTAATAAAACAAACAAACAAAAATATAAGTGGATGCTAGTTCAGGGAGAATATAAATATTCTTGGAATTTAAGAGTAGCACCTCTTTTCTCTGGGCACAGTTGATCCTTAGGAAATTCTAATGACTTTGCTCTTCTTTGGAACTTGGAATTACAGACCTAAAGGCTGAGGCTCCATTGACCATCTTTTAGCAGTAATTTCTTAACATTCAGTGCTAAGTGCTGCAGGAAAAAGTATTACCAGGAGTAGCATATGGCATTCTCCAAACTTTGCCGCCAACCAAACCCAAAACCAACATGCTTCGTGCATTTTTTTCTATCCCGCTTTCTGTTGCTGTTGAGTTACTTAAGCTGGGGGACCATTTAGTGAGGGTATTTCGGATCTACCCAACATTACTGAGAAGGGGGCATTACTAGAGCACCGTGGGCAGCATGGAGAAGAGGACCAAGGCTGGCTGGATCCAAGAACCACTCAGTGTGGGATGAGTGAGAGTAGGGGCAAGAGGACAAAACAGCACTGGGAAATGGAAGCTTGGAAAGGAAAGAAAGCAGCTTGCTGATAACTGAATATCCAGTTTCTCTGGCCAGAACAATCTTGAGGAGAGGGTAGCAGGGTATCATGTAACTAATTTGAGCATTATTAAAGATAAAAAAACAAACAAACCATGGACCTTAATGAAGCCTTAGAACTGAGTCAAGGGGGATGGAGACACTATGTTCATGCTTTGAGAAATGAGATGAAGTACGATTGGAAGAAACACTAGTGACCTGCATGTCTCCTAACATAGGAAACCACGAACTTAGCTCTCTCATTCAATCCATTTATGGAAGCAGTCCCCAGGCCACTCACGGGTTATCTGCTAACATTCTCATTTTACACAAGGGTAGACAGCAGTGTTCATCCTAAAAGGCATCCTGGCAAAAACTTGCAGAAAGGGAACGGAGCCACTCTGCTAATTTCTGTCACTTTGACTGACCCGGGGTCAGTGGAAAGAAGTGGTTGGAATAGGAGTTAGAATGGGAGATCTTTTGGTTGGGGCGAGGGCATTGAAAGAGTCCTAACGGGATGGCCCCTGTGTTACATGAAGAAGATATTATTTGGGATCTACTTTCCAAAGAAGTTAGCTACAGAGAGTAAGAAAATGTGTGTGTGTGTGTGTGTGTGTGTGTGTGCGTGTGCACGCGCGTACACGCATATGTGTACAGAGAGTGAATATATAGCACTTGGTAGGAGTGAGCACAGCCCATGTAATTAGATGCTTCGGTGCTCCTGGGATACAACCAAGAGACTTGGTACTACCTTTCTTGGAAGGAGTTACCGATTTGGGGTAACTTAACTCTAGTCTGGAAATGAAGGAGGAATGTTTACAGGAGGTGGTTTGCAGCGTAAACTAAAGGAAAATTTGAATGTGACAGAATAGAAAAACTAAACCAACAGCTCCCAAGTACACACACTCTCTCTCTCTCTCCTTGACAATCCAAGTTTGTAGGCCCTTGCATAAGGGTATGAGATTAGCAGTTATCTGTTTCTCTTGCCTTTGCTGCCTCTCAGCTGCTAAGTATTGGATTCCAGGGTTGCATGAGCGGTCTAGTGTTTGCACAGGCATTTCTCGAAGCCACTGCATGGCAGGTATTTGAAGAGCAGTCAGGCAAGTCACACGAGGCAGAGGCATCCGAGAGGGTGTGTGGGGCACTCTGTAGAAAAAGACGTTCCACGCAGGCACCCGGACCACACCCGGTGTTAAAACAGAGCGGGACTGTGTGGAATAAATGGAATCGGAGGCCTGGCTGCTTTTTTCCCAGTCAACTTCCACCCAGAGCAGGCAGCGCCAAGAATTTGTTGTTATGCTTTCTGCCCCCGGTGACCTTTGCTCGGTGGTTAAGCTGTGCCCCAATGTTTGAAGCATCTGTATTTGGGCTGTTGGACTGAGAAGCAAGAACAGGTGCGAGCCCGGCTGTGGGGGAGCTGCGGCCGCCAGAGGGCGCAGAGGTGCCTTTGGACCAACTGGAGGGGGGTGCGGGGGAGACGGTTAAATTAAATTCACAGCGAACGAGAGCTGGTCCCGGGAATTAAAGGATCAGAGCCGGCCTGACGACGGATGGGGGGCAGCGAAGATACGGGGACAAAGAAACGGGGGGCTTTGTCGGGTCTTCCTTCCCACAGCCGCCCCCACCTCCCCAGTCAGCATAAGGCCCATAAGCCATTCTTTTCGCTGGGAGCTGGGCTCCTGTTGCCTCAGTTTCCTGCTTAGCTCCTGGGGCTTTCTTGAGCCGGTCCTTTCCCTGCTCGGGAGCTGAGACACAAGACCCAGTGACCTGGGGCCTGGGTTTTAGGGAGTTTCCGAGGACGTGCTGAGAGCCCCTCTCCGCCGCCCGCAGGTGCAGACGGTCCCCGCACGCCCCGGCCGGCGCAGCTCTGGGCCTTCCCCGGAGCAGACAGTGGGGGCCCCTGCGGGGCTGGACGGAGGCGGGCTGGGCCGCATCTCTTCCCCGTCCGGTTCCGGAGAACCGGGCCCCCCTCCCGCCGCTCCGCCCCACAGCCTGCGGAAGCCCAGTGGCTCCGGGACAACGCAGCCCCCCTCTTCCTCCATCAGGAAGGCCGCCCCGCTTAGGCGGAGGACGCGGTACCCTCAAGCTCGGAGCGGCGGCCAGAGTCTCGGCCGGCTCAGGTGTCAGGGGTGCGGGCGGCTCCTGGACGTCGGAGAGTCCTCCAAACCTCCCTCGGTTCCCCGTCTTCCCCCCACCCCGGCGGCGGAGGGGGAAGGGTATGGCCCCAGTGTGGGAGTTCAGGCCCCTTCCCTTTTCCCCTGGCCCCCCGGCCGGCTGTGGGGGCACCGAGACTTACCGGACCCCACCCTGGGTGGAGGCCGCGAGATCAGGCCGTCGGAGCGCGGGAGCCGCCCCCCCCCTCTGGTGGCGGGTCACCCGCACGCCCCGCCCGGGAAGACCGCGACCTCTCCGCCCCCTCGAACGCCCCGCCCCCCCCGTCCCCGTCGGTCCCCACCCCGCCGGCGGGACACACACGCACAGATTCTGGCTAGAGCCGCCCTGGGTGTCAGTGGCCCGACTCCTGCGTCTGCCCCAGCTGCCGACTCGCCTCAGCACCTGTCGCTCGGTGTGTCCCGGAGCCGGCGCCCCTTACTCCGTCCGGGCCAGGGAGTGCCATGGTTTCCCTGCCCAGGCCCCCTGCGACCAGCTTGCTGCGGTTTTTGTTCCTGGGGCTGAGTACCCTCGGTGAGTGAAACGTGCCCCGGGAGGGAACTTGAGACGGGTAATGGGATGAATCCGACCCTGAGCGAGGTGGTCTTGGGCACTGATGAAGGAACTGAATGGATGGGGCCACCCCCCTCTGACTCTTGCCCTCCTCCCCCCACACTCCCTCCCCCCTCTACCCTCCCAGGGCATCACTGGGTGGGGTTGACTTCTATCTCCGCTCTGTCCTGACAGCTACCACTTTGGGTGTGGACTCTGCCTGGTTGGAGAGAGGGTCAGGGCATCTGTGTGGGTAGACCTCTCTGTGAGTTGTGCGAACCATTGCTCACCAGCACTCCCCACCTCCACCCAGCAGGGCCAGATGAGCGGCTAGATGAGACACAGGCTAAAGAGCTTAAGGACTTAACTCCAGCCCCCTCAGGTCCCCCACCCCACACTGGAGCTAATATATAAGAACCCCAGGAATCCCCTGGATCCCAGGCTTGGCAAACGCACTTCACATCAATTCCCCAGCCCAGATCCTCCCTCTACCCCCCTCCAGCTTCCTGCCCTGGGAATAAAGGGAGGTGCCCCAAAAGTTTGACCGTGAGGTCACTTGGGACACAGGAAATGGGGGAGGGGTTTGAATGCCTAAAGGAGCAGAATTGTGATCCCCCCACCATGAGGTCCACCACCCCCCCCATTGGTTCCCAGAGCCAAACGGACAAAGGAAATAGAGAGAAGTTTCCTCAAAGAGTCAGAGAAGAAGGGCGCTTCCTTGGAGCAAGTGCTCAAGGAGTGTTGAAGGCTTCCAGGAGCTCTCAGGAGCTGGGGATGGTCCATTGTGACATCTGGAGTTTAAGGGCCCAGCAAGAACTAAACCCATTATAAGCATCTTCCTTTGGGGCTGTCTTGCCATCTCTTTTCAAGGATCTCCAGAAGGGTGAAGGGTGAGTTTGTCAAGGTCAAATTTAACTCATTTCACTCAGGTTGGAAGTGACAGATACAGAGAGACAGAGTGAAATTCATCCACAGTGATGGGGACAGAGACAGGGAACAGCTAACTCTCACCCATGCCCCCTTTAGCCTGATTTGTGCTTCAGGAGTGTTGGGGCATGAAGTGATTAGGGTCCCTAGACAAAGAGGACTCCGAGCAGCCCACCCGCCACACCAGAGCCTGGAAAGATTCCTGTCCCTGTAGACTCGGTGGGCCTGCTCCGGATCCCTTCTCTTCTTGGCTGCCTTCTCCCAACGGCAACCTCAGCACCCCTTTCCCTTCTGCATTCTATCCTCAACTCCCCCATCTCTCTGCTGGGGCTTTTGCCAAGCAAGGGAGAAAAGTCCCAGTTCCTTGCTTGGGCAGTGTTTGCACCTCTCCTGCGACTTCTCCTTTTCCTATCCTAACTCTGGCCATCAGTTTTCACAAGGACAGCCCAGGCCCAACCTCCCTACCAGGCAGCCCAGGGGGTTGCTGACCTCCACCAGACACTCAAGAGTTAACTGGCACTGGGGCCCAGGGCGCTGGGGGCAGGCACCAGCTCTGCTGGTCTCCGCTGCACTGGGCTGTCGGGGAGGCCCCGAAGCTCTGCGCTCCTGGGTGGCTCTGTGCTGCTGCCCCTGGGGCGTGAGAAGCCCGCGGGGGTAGTTTCTCAGAGAAAAAGAGACTAAAAATAGTAGCTTCGGGAGCAGGCCCATTTTTTGTGCTCCTTTGGGCCTTGCCGGCTCCATCACTCTGGTCTTGGAGTGGGCCAGAAGGGTCCCTTTCTTGGGCTGTTCCTGTGTCCTTCACTCGGACCCAACCACTCGGTTGTCCTCTGCCTGTGGTACCACGGACCCTGCCAGCAAAAAGGGGCTTCTGCTGCCGCGGACACCCAGGCCTGAGGGTGTCCTAGTTTCAGCTCTTAGTTTCCCACTGTGGCGTAGGACAGGGAGCATTTGCCCAGACCCCAGTGTGTCCATCACTAGCTCTTTTACCGCTGCCACCTTTCGCAGTGAATAAAGGTCAATGCTGGACCTGGGGGAGGTCTCCGGGGGCACCTGCGGCGAAGGAAGCTCGCGCGTCTCCCGGGCCTCAGGCAGGTTTCCCGACGGGAACTGTTTTCGGCCTCCCGGGAGTGCGCTGCAGAAAGGCCGGTGGAGATCCGGCACCGCCCGCAGGCCTCCTGTAGTCCCGGCCTCCGGAGACCCGCGTGCGGGCCAGGTCCGCCCCGGTCCCCAGGGGGGAGTCGGGCTCCTTGAGGCGGAGTTTGTTTTCTCCTGTAGAGCCTCCGGTCCAGCGGCGCCCCGGTCATTGTCTTCTGGCTTATCACCGGGCACAAGTTTCCTGCCCGGTCCGCAGGGACCCGCCAGGAAATGGATAGGGGGGTGTCGCGAAGGCCAAGGAATAGGGGTGGGGGTTCTGGAAAGACGCGCAGGCGGAAAGCCGTGGGGGTGGCTCGCATCCTGGCCGGATCCGCGCCGGGGCTCTTAGGGGCCTGCAGCCAGGCTCCAGGAGGGCGGAAAGCCCGGCCTGCGTGCGGCCTCTGTCCGCGCCTTGGCCGCCTGGTCATCACGCGGAGATGGCGTCTCAGACTCAGAGTGCGGAGGCCAGGGGCTACGGTAGCTAGCCTCCTGGGGCCTGGCCGGTCCAAGCCCAAGGTTATTCCTCCCAAGGGCTTAGGATTCCGCTGCTCCATCGCCTCTCTGAAGGGCAAAAAGTGAATGTTTCTGGACGTCAACAGCAAGCACTGGTTCCACTGTCCTCTCCTCGAAACCGACACCCCAGTCCACCTCCTGAACGCCAAACACACGCAGATTTGTACTTGACTGCTAGGGTGCCTTCGTTCGTGTTCCAGTTCTGCCCGTGATTTCCTGCGACCTCATAGGACCCTCCCAGATCGCCTGGACCCCCAAAGGGCCCCTTTCTGGGCCTCCATTCTCCGTTTTCCCAGGGCAGGCCCTGGGTCGGGACGGAGCGGGAGGCGGGGGAGCGCGGCCGTCAGTCGGTCAGCTGGAGCGCTGGGCTGCTCCGGTCTCTCCCTCCGAGCTGTTAGTTCAGAAGGAGCCGCGGGTTAATCGCTAATCCGGCGGCCTCCCAACCCCCTCCGCCCGTCGGGTTGAAAGGCAGGAGCGGGGAACGCTGGCGATCCTGACCAGCGTCGCTACGCCCTCTTGGCTCCCTCCCGGGGGAAATTGAGGGAGCAAGTGGGCTACGAAGAGTGCAGATTAAAAGTATTCAACACGCCCTTCCTCTTAGAGATCCTCCTCTCCCCTTGCCCTGGAAATTGGCCCCCTCTTCTTGGTGCTCTGAAATCTGCTCCTCTGGATACAAATAAATGCACAGAAATGGGTCCCTACCCCTGTTAGGAACCCACAGGCAGGCTGAGATTACGAATACCTTCTGATGAAAGCAGGACACTAGGTCAGCAGTCCCTGGGCAATGCTCGAGGCCTACACAGGTGGGACCCTGCCGGGGTCTTCCTCTCCTCCCGCTGCGCTGGGCAAGATTCGCAGGTGGAGGAGCCAGAAGCCAGTCCTCCGAGCTCATGCCTCCGTGCTCTTGTCCTCAGCGTCCCCCTCACAGGCCCAGCTGGAGCTCCACGTGCCCTCTGGCCTCACCAGGTTGAAGGCAGTGGAAGGATCAGAAGTGGTGCTCCCAGCGTGGTACACCGTGCAAGGACATGTATCTTCATCCCAGCGGTGGGAGTTGCTCACGGTGATGTGGTTCTTGGAGCAAGAAGGGAAGGATCTGAACCAGGTGAGGAAGGGCAGCGTTTCAGCCGGAGGCTACACACTGTGGCTGAGGGGAAGAAGTGGCCAGAGTGGGAGGGTTGGCCAGGGGTGGGGGATGGGGATGGGGAAGGAATATTCAGGAAAAAGTAAGGTCCTCCACACCGGCTCAATTTTTGTTCTGACCTTGGAGGCCCCCAAAGAATTTTCTTTTCCCCAACTTACCCTAGAAATCCAGGACACAAAACACAGGAAAGTGGAAAGGCATTTTGCTTTGCTTTGGGGGAGGGGCAGCGAGGATTGGGGTTTGAGGACCAGGGAAGGGTTAAGGCAAGTTTCTCACAGCTTGAAAAAGCTGAGCATCTTCCTATTTTCACCTTCTTTGTGCTTTTGGGTGCTGTCACAGGCCACTTTTCTTCCCGAATCCATCCCACTGCCCCAGGGGCAGTCTCCTTTCCCAACCTCACATCTACCCTCCTTCCTGATATCAGACTTCTTCTCAGAGGCTATTTACCTGGAAGCCAATGAAACTTCATTTTCAGAGCCCCTTATTTGCTTAGGCTCTCCCAAGGCTCTGGAAAGTATTTTCTAGAGGTCATTTGATAAATAGGAGTACATATGAGAGAAATCTAAATTGCAGGGGTACATCCAGGGTTTCACAGAGCCTGAATTTATACATGGGGTAGGGGGGACATCTTCAAGAAAAAGATTATAAAAAGATTTTAAAAAAATTTTGACCCACTCCCTGTAATCTAAGTTTCTTTCATAAATACCTCTGTTTACATTATCCCTCACCCATCATACCACCTTTCTAAACACCCCAAGAGGGAGATGAGGAGACAAAGCATACGGGATCAGGAACTGTCCCGGGAAAGAGGACTCAGGGGCAGGGAGAGAGAGGGGAGGGAAGACAGTTGGGGGAATGGGGAGCTGGGACAGGTCAGAGGAAGTGACTGCAGGGGAGAAGCAGAAGAAGACTGCCAGTTTGGGGGAGGGAGGATTAGCTGAACCTGTGGGCACAGGGCACACGTGGAATAACGGGGAGGCATTGTGTCCCACATCAGGTGCTGGCGTACATCAGTGGGACCACGTCAAGCAAAAGTGGGGTATCCCTGGTCTACTCCATGCCTTCCCAGAATGTGTCACTGCGGCTGCAGGACCTCCAGGAGAAAGACTCTGGGTCCTACCGCTGCTCAGTGAATGTGCAAGACCACCAAGGCATCAAAAGGAGCCACAGCAGCAAAACTTTAGAACTCAGTGTGCTGGGTGAGTGAGCAGCACACACTTGGCAACACCTTCCCCAGCCCCACGGGAGCCCAGGCAGGTCTGTCTCCCAAAGGGCTGAGTGTAAACATTAGAGGAGGGCAGACAGAGTGACAGAAGGCCGGGTGTGTGTGTGTGTGTGTGTGTGTGTGTGTGTGTATGTGTGTTTGTGGGTGGGTGGGAGGGATCTGTTTATCCCCTGGGGATGAGCTTTTAACCTGTCTCCCTGCTTTAGTTCCTCCAGCTCCTCCATCCTGTGGTCTCCTGGGTGTGCCCCGTGTGGGGACCAATGTGACCCTGAGCTGCCAGTCCCCGAGGAGTAAGCCAGCTGCCCAGTACCAGTGGGAGCGGGCACCCCCATCCGCCCAGGTTTTCTTTGCACCAGTTTTAGGTGAGGGAACTTGAGGCTGTGGCTGGGGGAGAGAAAGATGAGAGGCACCAGAGGGACTGGGGTGAAAGGGGAGGTCGTGCTGCAAAATTCTGGGGTGAAGGAGGGAGTGGGGAGAAGGGATGGAAAAAGGGGGCCCAGCAGGTGCAGGCTCTGCGTTGGGGGCTTTCACATGCTGTATACTTATGTCACTGAAGAGGCTCTTGAGCTAGATAATATGCATTCGAATTCCAGCTCTGTCGTGTACTAGCTGTACTTGGCTCTGTGCTTCCATTTGTAAAACGGGATGTCATAGCCCTGATTTGAACCCACTAATTATAAAAAATGTTTTGGGACAACTGGGACATTTTCAATATGGATAGATAATTATTATTAGGTATTAGATAATTCCATTAAAGGATTATTAACTTAGCAGATGTGGCTGTGGCATTATAGTTATGTAGTCGATGCCCTTATTTTTTGGAGACTTATGGTGAGCATTTATTTTTAAGTGTCTCACAAAAAGAGGGAAATGAAGTAAGTATAGCAAAATGTTAGCAAACTACATGGGTATGTGGAATTTCATTTTGTCTCTCTACTTTTTATTTGACCATTTTTATAATAAAAATTATTTGTATATTTTTAAAGATTTTATTTATTTATTTGACAGAGAGATAGAGAGCACAAGTAGGCAGAGGGGCAGGGAGAAGGAGAAGAGAGGGAGAAGCAGACTCTCTGCTAAGCAGGGAGCCCCATGCGGGACTAGATCCCAGGCCCTTGGGATCATGGCCTGAGCCAAAGGCAGCTGCTTGACCGACTGAGCCACCCAGGTGCCACAAAAATCATTTGTATTTTTTAAATAGTGCTCAAGCTCATAGGTTTGTTGTGAAATTTTCACTAGTTAGTTCAGGTAAGGAACGTAGTCTCTGGCATAGAGTAAGCGGTCAATAAACTTTAACTATAATAATGATTATTTCATATAATCCTTTCAACACCATCAAGGAGGTCATATTACCCCTTTTACAGATCAAAAAGTTGGGAGCCAGGGATAGCAAGTAATCTGTTTAAAGTCACATGTCCTATTCTGGATGTCAGGTTTTCTGATTCCTAGCCTACAGTGTTCTTTCTCACCACACCGCCAATCAGAAATAAAAGCAAACATGGTGTTTGGGTTTTTCTGGGCACCAGTTCCTCTTGGAATCTTTTTAGGTCTTAATCAGGGACACTGACCTGTGGAAATGGAGAGGGTCATCGAGTTAGCAGCATGCTGGTTGTCACAACTTTTACCACTGTGAGGGAACAGACAGATGAGTCTCCCAGAGAATCAAAGAGGACATTCAAGAAGGGACAGAATTTTTTCCAGTGGTAGAAAGGGTCCCTGGACTGATGGCCCAATTGTGTCCGCAGATGCCATCCGTGGATCCTTAAGCCTCACAAACCTTTCCAGTCCCATGTCTGGAGTCTATATCTGCAGGGCCCACAATGAGGTGGGCAGTGCCCAGTGCAATGTGACCTTGGAAGTGAGCACAGGTCAGTGAGGGGTAAGTGTGGTTAAGGAGAAGATTGGACACCGGTGGGTGTGGGGTTGCAAGAGGAGAGGAGGCCTCCTGCTGAGGCCTCTCACTGTTAACAGGACAAAGAGCTTGTCCCAGTCAATGTTTCTACAAATGTCTGGTCACTGCATTTTCTGCTTGACAGGAAAAAGAAAAAAATGTTTATGGTGGCAGTGGGGTAGAGGGATTGGAGGGGGTGGGGACCAGTGTCTCCCCTGGATGTCTGCCCCTGACACCAAGCCTTTTCCAGGGCCAGGGCCTACGGTTGTTGCTGGAGCTGTTGTGGGCACTCTGGTTGGACTGGGGCTGCTGGCTGGGCTGGTCCTCTTGTACCAACGCCGAAGCAAGGCCCTAGAGGAGCCGGCCAATGATATCAAGTAAGTGTGTCTGGTCTCTGCCCCAGTGGGGTTCTCCTAGCTTCCCTTGGCTGGGAATTCAGGCCGCTGTCATCTAAGGGAAAGGTGGGCAGTGACTGAAACATCATTCCATTGGGGGGATTTTAAGGGAGGGGAGAGTGAAATAGTGTCTGAGCAGGGAATAAGACAAAGCCGGTAGAAATCCTCCCTTCTTTCCCCCTCCAGCTTCTGACCTCTTAATCACTTCTTTGATCACTAGGGAGGATGCCACTGCTCCCCGGACCCTGCCTTGGCCCAAGGGCTCAGATACAATCTCCAAGAATGGGACCCTTTCCTCTGTCACCTCAGCACGAGCCCTCCGGCACCCCCAAGGTCCTCCCAGGCCTGGTGCACTGACCCCCACGCTCAGCCTCTCCAGTCAGGTCCTGCCCTCACCCAGGTTGCCCAGGACAGATGGGGCCCAACCTCAGCCAATATCCCCCAGCCCTGGTGGAGTCTCTTCCTCCGCTCTGAGCCGCATGGGTGCTGTCCCTGTAATGGTGCCTGCCCAGAGTCAGGCTGGGTCTCTGGTGTGATGGTCCAGCCACTTACTACCCAAGCCATCTGGTTTCTCTCCTTCCTATAAGGGTCAGCCCTAACTCAGAGGCCTGAGTCTTGGGGGACCACCTTCCAGACCTCCAGTCCTCCACCCACATCTTTCTCTACTATGGGAAAACTGAGTCTCAGTTAAGATCCAAACATTCAGGAGGTAGAAGAAGAGGAAGTGGATCTCAGATTAGGAAGAGCTCCCACCCCCTTCCCCAGTCCTCCCCATGACTGCAGGGAACGCTGGTCTGTGTGAGGACTGCTGGTCAGTGAGTCCTCCACGCCCCCTCGATCTGTACTCCTCCCTATCTAACAGCACCATCACTCCCACTTCAGCTCCCTGCGTTTCATATAACCTGTCCTGCTCTCTTGGTTGGGTTTTGTTGGGACAGGGGATAGGGAAGGTATTTTTTTAAACTAACTTGAAATGTGTGTTTTTGTTTTTATTTTGCAAATTTCAATAAAGATGCATTGTGTTTGTATGGAAAGTACGAGTCATATTGCCTTTTCAAACCCTGGAGGGCTTTTCCACACAACTTCCGGGAACAGCTCTTCTAGAGTCATTAAAAGGGTCATTTGTGGGGGCGCCTGGGTGGTGCCGCCAGTTGAGGCTCAGATCCTGATCTCAGGACTGTGATCTCAGGGTCCTGAGATTGAGCTCCCGAGTCTGCCAGGGATTTTCTCTTCCTCTACCTCTGCCCCTCCTGCTCGTTCTCTATCTAAAATAAATAAATCTTAAAAATAAATAAAAGGGTCATTAGCTCTCAGGTATCATGGGGAGGGCCCAAAAAGTCTGAAGCCAGGAAGACCCTAACCCACTCGGAGCAGGAAAGGGTTGAAACCTGGTGCTCTTCCTGCTAAGGGTGCTCACAGACTTGGGGTGTGGGTGCTCTTAATCTCCAGCTTCCTCTTAAGGGTAGGAGGGAGAAACCTGACTTGTTCCTCCCTCTCCCAGACCACTGAGTCCTTAACAAACACATCTTGCCCTCCAGTGCAGTGAGGGAAAGCTGGACATAGGACAGGGTGTAGGCCTGTGCTCCAATTCTGTCACCCCTGTCCTGTCAAGGGTGGGGTCTCCTCCAAGACTCAGTTTCTCTGCCAAGACAAGGAGTGGCTCTGGGAGTGGGGAGGTGGCTGTGGTTTCCATGGAGACTCCTACCTCAGCAAGCCTGATAAAGGTGCCAAAGAAGGATCTCAGACAAAAGAAGGGCTAGGAAGGATAAGAATCTCTGAAGGGGTCAGAAAGGGTCTTCTGCCTGGGCTCATGCTCTGGAACACCAAAGTCGTGATGTCCATTTGCCAACTCAGGTTATTAAAATGCCTCCCTCTTCTTCCGGGGCCATTCTTTGTTTACAAATCACTCCAGATCTAATCCCTTCCCATGGGGTGCCCACCCAAGCCCTGCTCTTTATCCCGGGACCTGACAGTTTCAGAAACAGGGGTGGAAGAGGAAGGAAGAAGGGAGTGAGGCTAGGATGATTCCAGTATTGGGGCTGGAGGAGGGAGGAGCATTTCCTTACCTGAGGGCAGCGGCCTCTCCCCTTGTTTGCTCTGAGATAGCCAGTCTCGCTGCTGCCCTGCACGAGGAGGCTACCCTTTGGGCGCTGCCTTCCCTCGCCCAGACCCAGACGCCCAGACCCACCCCCAGACAGCTGGACTCGGTCATGGCCTGGATTCCGGGGCCCATCCTCTTCGGGGCCCTGCTGGTCTTCGTCTGCCTGTGCGGTGAGGAGGCAGGGGGCGGGGGCGGGAGTGGTGGTGGGGGGTAGGGGTGCTGCGCTGGGGGCAGAGGCCTGGCCTCCCCGCTGCGGGTGGGGAGCCGGCTCAGTTCCGCGGGGCGGGCCAGGGGTGCTGCCCGCCGGGATGGGGAGAGGGCGTCGAAGGCCGGGCGAAAGACACAGTCACGAAAACCGGCAGGCAAGTCCGGCCTCCCTCGCAGGGTTTAACCACCACCGGACTATTGTTTTCCTTTCCCTGACAAACACACCCTCATACCTGGCCCAGTCTCGGTCCTTTTACCCACAAAAACCCGGCCGAGATGTGTGCTCCTCCCTCCGGAAACCTCAGGTTTCTAGAAGGGAGTGATTGAGGGCCCGGAGCTGAGCTCCGGAGGAGGGAGGGAGGCCCCCCCCTACCCAACCCAGGGCCTTGGGAGCCGCGTGTTGGGCCGGACCCCCACACCCCCACCGGGATTTGGGACTGGGCCTCCACTCCACCCCAGCCCCGGGCCTGGCGCCACGCTAGCGCTTCTCCGGCCGGCCTCCCGTCCCTCTTCGTCCCGCAGGCCCCGGGCTAGCCGTGGAGGTGAAGGTCCCCGCGGAACCCCTGAGCACCCCCAAGGGCAAGACCGCAGAGCTGACCTGCAGCTACAGCACGTCGGTGGGAGACAACTTCGCCCTGGAGTGGAGCTTTGTGCAGTCTGGGAAGCCCATCTCTGAGTCCCACCCCGTGAGCTGAGAGCTGTCCCGCTGGAGTGGGGTTGGCTGGGAGAGGATGGAACAGAGGGCCCACCCAGGAAGAGGGTGCTGGTTAGAGAGGCTGGGTTTGGGGATCAGCAAACCCAGGATGCTTGGATGAAAAAATGAGTGGTCTCTTTCTAGATGTTCTTAGGACCACAGTCTGCATGACTCCAAATCCCATATATGGCTCTGTATATCCAACCTCTCTCCCTCTCTCCCCTAACTCCTACAAGCAACTCTCCTATCCCTATTTCAGTTAATAAGCCCACTGACACTCAGCTTTGGTGACTGTTAGTAAGATCAAATGATGTCCCTTCCAAGAATGTTTGCGTTAATCCGCTCCCCCGCCCCCCCAGTCCCTGAAAATTGAGAGCCATGCTTAGCTGAAAGCAGTAAAACTAGTTCATTTAGCACTTGGGAAGGGATGGTATTTGGGGACCTAATACCTTCTTATACCTGCTTTCGAAAAAGGACTGTAGAATTGACACCAGGCAGAAAAAGACACGTATGTGTCTTCTGCTTCTCCCCAGATTCTGTACTTCACCAATGGCCGTCTGTATCCAACTGGTTCTAAGGCAAAGAGGGCCAGCCTGCTTCAGAATCCCCCCACAGGAGGGGTGGCCACCCTGAAACTGACTGATGTCGACCCCTCAGACACTGGAACCTACCTCTGCCAAGTTAACAACCCTCCAGATTTCTACACCAATGGGTTGGGGCTAATCAACCTTACTGTGCTTGGTAAGGCAGGCTGGGGACCCAGCAGCCACCCGTCTGAAAGATTGCACTGGCCCGGCTAAGTCCTCCCTGCCCCCCAGACCCCCGATTTCTACCCCAAGCACACACTGCACTGGGGACCCCAAGGGGAAATACCTCCTTCCCAAAGTCCTCCATCCTCCACAAAGAGGGAGGAAGAGGACTCCTCCCTCAGTCCCTAGTCACAAAAGATTCAAGAGAGAGAAAACCTTTCCCATATATAGATCTGAGTTATGCCCCCAAAAACCCTATCTTTGGGGGGACGTCCCATTTGTAGCTCAGATTCTGTCTCTCCTTAGGTCAGTGGCAGAGAAAGGGAGTGGCCATGGAAGGAACAAGGGCCCCTGTTACTAGGCACCAACCTTCTGTGCAGAATTTCCAGCTTACTCCAACCCAGACCCTGCTCAGAGATGAGCAGACAGGAACCATTAAAGAGTCTGGGGATGTCTAGATGGAAAAGTGAGGACTTAGGAGGTGTGTTACAACTGCTTTCAAGTATCTGAAGGCTTGTCCTATGGAGGAGAGATTTTTCATTTCTCTTTGTGAGCAGAAATTGGGACCAAATGGGTAGATATTATATTAACACAGATTCTGGCTCAACATGAGGAAGAATTTTCTAACAATCAGAATTTCCAGTAGTGGCAATCATTTCCTGGGGATGCAGTGGAATGTGGACAGAAGTGGACTACTGTTTGGTGGGAGTGCCAGAACAGGAAATCTAGCACTTAATGGGGAGGTGGGGCAGAGCTAAAAGATGGCTAAGGTACTTTCTTTGATTTTTGCAGTGCCCCCTAGTAGTCCCTTGTGCAGTAAGAGTGGTCAGACCTCTGTGGGGGGCTCTGCTGCACTGAAATGCAGCTCTTCTCAGGGAGCCCCCCGGCCAGTGTACAACTGGGTACACCTTGGATCTTCCCCTACACCTTCTCCTGGCAGCATGGTGCAAGGTAAGGGCCCGGGGCACCGGGCAAGAGGGGACTGAGGACCTGGGCAAATCTGATTTCTAAACTCCATGTCCCCTCACTTCTCAGTTCTGTGCCTGTGGGTCTGAGACAGACGGCTGTACCTTTCCCTCTTCTTTCCTGGTGTCTGTATTGTTCCATCCTGTCTGTCTTCCTGCCATCTGTAGCTCTGTGCTCCTGGAAGAATTTCTCAAGTTACATGTACTCCTGGGATGTTGGAAGACAATGGAAGGTGGGGGGTCTTTTATGATTCCCACTTTTGAGGATTTAAGGGTCGTGGATCACTTCCAAGCTTCCCAGAGAGGAAGCTGAGGCAGAGTAGCGAGGACTGGCTTGAATCATTTAGTCAGTGTCTTGGGAGGAACCAGAGAAATGGGTAAGAGCCTTGGCTTCTCAGCCTTCTCATGCTTGTTTCAGTGCCCTGTCCATTACCCCAGCCCCAGCACACCCCTTTATCAATACAGAGAGCCCCCCCAGATCATCTGGTTTGTGTTCTGCCTTCTAAAGGGAGAGTAAGCAGCTTAGTGAAACATTTGGGGGAGCTTTGGGCCACCCCAGAAGATACCATTTCTGGCAAAAAAGCCCTCCCTCCATCCCAGTCAGGAACCTGCCATCAGCCAGTAAGCATCCCACTCCAATTCCATGAGTGTACCCTCTCCCCCTCCCCTGAAAAGGCAGCTTTGCAGGGTGGAAAGAGCACAGAAGTGGCAGTGGCTTTGGCACTTCCTTTCTGGGTCACCTCAAATGATTACTTTCCTTCTCAGAGCCACCGTCCCCCCTAATAAAGGAGATTAGTCCCTTCCTGACAGGATTGTGGTAAGGATGAAATGAAATATGCTTTCATCATAGTAGGCGCTCCCTGTGAGTTGAATGAATGATGGAACCTTTCCTCTTTACCCTCTAGATGAGGTGTCTGGCCAGCTCATTCTCACCAATCTCTCCCTGACCAATTCTGGAACCTACCGCTGTGTGGCCACCAACCAGATGGGCAGTGCATCCTGTGAGCTGACCCTCTCCGTGACTGGTAGGGGATGCTGGGCAGAGGTCTGGCTGGCAGGCCCAGGCTGGGAAGGCTGCATGAGACATCTG